TTCTACTTCATCGATCTTTTTCCTCCAGGGTGAGCAGGGTAAGGTAAAAGGTGTGAAGTTAAAATAGGTTTATTTGGCTACTTGCTCTATCAGCTGGTTTCGGTACAATGCATCTTCCTCTCTCTCAGCAGTTAATACACTACCGGTGAGCATCTAATGATGATTTCTTGGAATTTGTTGCTGACATCATTATAACACTTTAGGATTCTGAACATGGCCTTGCTTAGCCAAGTTATATTCATTTTCTTCCTTAAATGCCTATTCTGCTTCCTTATCTTCTTAAGTAGAAGATGAATTAAAAGATAGGACTTCCTACAGCTCTAACATAAAGCTGAATCTGGAGGGAGAACAAGATTTAAAAGCCAGGATTTGAGATGCTGGGGTTCTCCACTCACCAACAGATCACATTCATTTGAAGCACATGTTAGAACCAAGCAGTGAAAACCACCGAAGTGCACATTAAAAAAATGTCAATGGATCCACTGTGGCACAGTAATGACCAAGCAGAGTGAGATCCTAAGTCTCCAACAGGCAGAGTGTGACAGAAATCTGGTTCAAATGTTTCCTAAATGTCAGGTTTTGTCAGTGGAGGAAAGGAATAAAAAAACAAAATAAGAGACTGGTACTGCGGAGCTGCTAATTAAAACAATTCAAAGAACATAAATGCTAGAGTAATTCTGGACCCGCCATGTCGGGCTGGTTTCAATGCAAATGTAGTGTTCCGATTTCTCCTTTCGCGGGGAAGGTATAATTAGCTCAGCTGCAACAGGGTGGAAGCCTTGATGCAGCCATCCCTGGTCCTGCCAGCTCCCCCGTGACGAAGGAACAGCTGCCACCCGCCCCTCCTGCCACAGATGACACAGAGCCGCGGCCACCCCGCAAGGCTGCTCACAAGCCACTGTAAGCACACGGCTCAGACTTCTAGTGCGATTGGTTCTTGCTTAAAGGTAAGGGCCATTTTACCCCTTGATCTGGTCGACTCCAGGCACCACCCTTCCACATGAGAGCGCCTTGGCTATCACAGAAAACCCTCCTCCAGGACAGTCGTAGAAAGAGTTTTTAACACTGGTGAGGACAACCCACATCACTGACCAGCCCCTCACCTTGGACCCTGATGCAGGCTGTTGGAGAGGATAGGAAGAAAGTAATGGAAAAAAAAAAAGTAAGGTGCTGGCAAATGAGAAATCTGAACCATAAGAACACCCTGCCCCAGCCAGGGTGATAAAGAAGATGAAGATGGCCAGGTGCAGTGGCTCATGCCTGTAATCTAGCACTTCAGGAGGCTGAGGCAGGAGGATTGCTTGAGTCTAGGAGTTCGGGGATCATCCTGGGCAACATAGCAAGAATCTGTCTCTGCAAAAAAATTTTAACAATTAGTCTGTAGTCCTAGCTACTCAGGAAACTGAGACAGGAGGATTGCTTGATCCCGGAAGTCTGAGGCTACAGTGAACTATGATCATGCCACCATGCTCCTGCGTGGGCAGCAGAGAGACACCCTGTCTCTTAAAAAAAAAAAAAAAAAAAAAGTGAATAGACACCGAGACACTGTGGGGATGGCTTTAAGGTTAAGCTTATAACTAATCCAATAGTTGGATAACTGATGTAAAAGCAAGCAAGCTCTGGGGCACAGCCACTGCAAGATGCACTGGAGCTCTGCAAAACAGAGCCACAACTTCCACTTGTCCATCTGACAATTCAGCAGAGTGGACCCCATTGATACGCTATGTCAATAAGTACACATATCCCAAGAACCTCTTCTGTGATAATAAATACTTTCATGAAACCCAACGGTGGGCAACCATTTTGAAATTTTAGAGAATGCAAAATAGAATTGTAATTTCTTTGCTTTCCTAGGCTGCTATCAAATTGTCAGTTCTTCCACCCATCACCTGCTTCCCTGGCCCATCTTGCCCATCCCCACCTGTAACAGAAGCCACTCCAAGGCTGGTTCTCTTTCCTCATCCTGAGGGGGAAAAACAGACAGAAAACAAACCTACGGACCCTGCAACTGCAACTGAGTAGTGACCATGGGGAGTGGGCATGGGAGATGAAATTAATGTGGCATCTGAAGCACATTTCTTAATGTCTAAGAACAAATAAAGGAACTGGGGGTCATTATTTCCTCCAACCATGTCACAGGGAAGGACTTCAGGATCTTGTCATCTAAGTGGAGAATTTTCTTTTTAACAAATGGTAATAAAATATGGCAGATGGCAAAGGCCAGTGTTTTGATAATGTGTAACGGACCAAGATCAACTTTTTTCATTCATAATGATGGTAACTATTTTGCTAGTATTTTCCTTTTCAGACTTTTTTTCTTTTTTTTTGAAATATAATTTAGATACCATAATAGAACCTTTTAAAGTATACAAATCAGTGTTGTTTTTTTCTTCAGTATATTCACAGTGTTGTGCAACTATCACCACTATATAATTCTAGAACACTCCTATTTTCCCTTCCACCCAGCCTCTGGCAACCACTAATGTATGTTTTGTCTCTATGGATTTGCCTATTCTGGACATTTCATATAAACGGAACAGTGCAGAATGTGACCTTTTGTGTCTGGCTTCTTTCGCTTAGCGTAATGTTTTAAGGTGTACCCTGTGCTGCAGCATGAATCAGCACTGCATTCTCTTATATTGCTGAATAATACTCCATTGTGGGGATTACCACATTTTGTTTATTCATTAATTAGTTGATGGACACAGTTGTTTCCGCTCTTTAGTTATTATGAATAATGCTTCTATGAACATTGTGTACAAGTTTTTGTGTGGACATATAATTGCAATTCTCTTGGGTATATGACTAAGACTGGAACTGATGAGTTACAAGGTGACTCTATATTGCACATTTTGAGGAATTACAAAACTGTTTTCAAAAGCAGTTGCACCATTTTACATTTCCAACAGCAGTGTATGAGAGTTTCAATTTCTCAGCATCCTCCCAATACTTGCCATTATGTCTTTTTATCACAGCCATCTTGTTGGGTGTGGAGTGGTATCTCATGTGAATTTTCTTTGCATTTCCCTAATGACTAATGTGCATCTTTTCATGTGCTTATCGACCATTTAGATATCTTCTTTGGAGAAATGTCTATTCGAATAGTTGCCTATTTTTTAATTGGGTGATTTATGTATTTACTGTTGAGATTTTCAGTATTTTTTCTCTGAATTATTTTTCTAGAAATTTCTGTAGAGGAGGATGTTGGGTTCCACTTTAGGGATAAAGTGTATCTTTGTTGATTTGGATAATAATCAGGGTAAAGCATTAAGCATTTACTTTTTGCCAGGCACTTTGAAACCTTTATTAACTTACTGCTAGAGAGAAAGTTGCTGCTTAGGCCGCATGCTCCTGCCTTAGATGCTCATCAAGATCAGCAAAGCTTTTCCTCAGGGAATCACCCACGTGTTTCTCTGTCTCCTGAGACAGGGAGACACCCCACCCCCACCTTCTATCAAGGAAGCAGAACTAACAGAGGAGATGCATCTGTTGGTAGGTAAAATCTCCCCCATGTTTGAGGTATCTGGAACAAACTAGTCATTGCTTTTAAGCTACATTTTGAACACTTGAAGTTAAGACTGTGCCCACATTTCCTGCAAATACACCCAGGAGAATCCTTCTCAATTTGGGCTCTATTCTTTCTCGCCATACAAAATGTGAGCAATGCTTATCAAGGTGACAAAGGAAGAAACACTGCGAAACAATCAACAGAAGAAATGTGCAGCAAGGCAATGGATACAATTTCTTAAAGTAACTGTAGCACAGTTGGCTGCAGTAAAAGGCAGAGGCATTAGAGGTGAGTGAGGCTGCAGGAAGGGGTACAGGAAACAAGCTGACCAAGTGCTCCTCAAAAATAAATAAAAACAAGAAGAGCAAAGGCATTATATTCACTGATTGTGAAAGGTAGTCCAGTTCTATGTTTCATCCTCTTAGGTTATACACACCCAGCGTGTTTATTCCTTTCCTGCCTATTCCTCCTCTTGAAAATCAAACAAAATAAACAGGAACATCAAATTGAGGGTACGAAGTAGTGGAACACCACCCCAAATCTTCACTCCAAATACCATGACTTCAAGGTTTCCAGAAATGTCCCCTTTCTCTCATACCCAAGTTCCAAGATCTCAGTTAACAAATGTAGCACACCCAGGGGGTAACGAGTGGATTTGAATTACTGCCTATAACTCTGCCCCTCCGCGGATTCAGTGGTGGGCCCGCGGGGCGGCGGGATGGGACCATTCAGGAACAGGCAGGACAGATCCTCTCACAAGTCACCAGGAAGGCCACTGGCTAACCTGCTTTCAGCCGAGACGGTTCTGCGTGGGAAATCCCAAGTCTACTGTACTGTTTACGGGAATAAGTTCTCTCTAGTTCAAATCTCAATCAAAGGCTCCAGGAATAATTTCACAGAATCAAACCCAAAACTCAAAATCCTTTAACCTCATGCCCACTAAGAATTCCCTCAAGCCTCCAGTTCCCCCTGGGAGGATTCTCCTGCTGAGGACTTTTCTCTTGGAGATGTCATGCCCCACTCCGGAGAGCCATGGAAAGAGCAAGATGGATGTTATGGGCTGAACTGTGTCTCCTCAAATTCCTGTGTTGAAGACCTGAGCCCCAGAACCTCAGAATGTGACTGTATTTGGAGATAGGACTTTAAATAGACAATTAAGTTAAAATGAGACCATTGGGGTCGGCCCTAATCCGGGCTGATTGATGTCCTCTTACTCATACAGAGAGATATTAGGGGTACAGGCCCACATGAAAAACAAGGCTGTGTGAGGACACAGTGAGACGGCAACCAACTGCAAGCCCGGGGAGAGACCTCAGAAGGAACGAAACCCGCTGACACCTTGATCTTGGACGTCCGGCCTCCAGAGCTGTGAGAAATAAATTTCTGTCACCCAGTGTGCGATATTTTGCTATGGCGGCCCTAGCAAACAAATACAATGGGGAACCCCAGGGAAGGAGGGCCCTGGGGGCTCCCTGTCTGCGCAGCTACTCACCCTGTAGTAGTCAGTGCTGTACACGTCCCGGGACATCCCAAAGTCCCCGATTTTCACCAGCAGGTTCTCCCCGACCAGGCAGTTCCGGGTGGCGAGGTCGCGGTGCACGAAGTGCTGGGACGCCAGGTAGACCATGCCCGCAGCGATCTGCTGGGCTATGTGCAGCATCTGCGACTGCGTCAGCTCCGTGGGCGGGTTGCCTTCGGCCATGAGCACGGCGTCAGGTCCGTGCGCCCTAGGGGAGGACACAGAAGGTGCAGCTGAGGCTTCAGCTCTTTGACTCGGGGGTCCCTCTGCCTCCTGTCAGCTACAGGTGCTAAAAGAGGCTGCCTGACTCAGCATAAAGAGGAGACAAAGATGCTTCACCCACACCTTACCCCGGAAGTCCCAAGAGTACCGAGGCTGCTTCGTTTCCCAAACAGTCTGGAATCCCCAGGGCCACGTGAGCCTGAGTGCCCCCGAGCACAGACAGGCTGATGTTTCAGAGGCTCCAGAACTACGCCGGGTCAGGCACTGGCCAGAGCCCCTGACCCTGAGAAGCGGCAGGTAGCTGAACCAAAACACAAACGCAACAAAACGCTGGGGGCGCGGCTGGCTCTCCTGGAGGGATGCTCACAGCACCTGCGGCAGAGCAGCCCTCAAAGCTGGCCCCTGAGGAATGTCCCCGCCAGCACCAGAACGAGGCAGCTTGGGGTCTCCCCCCGTCCACCTGACCTGTGGCCAGGCAGGGTTTTCAAGCTGCCTTGACTCCCTCACGCCCAGTTCAGCAGAGTCTCAGAGCATTCTCAGCGCGGACGTGCATTCCCAACGACAAAATGCCATTTCCTTCTGCCCACCTCTGCACCCCCACCTCCAGCTCAACACATCGCTGGCCAACACATAGGAGAGCTCTTCTGAATCACAACGCATTAGTTTTCTTGCTGGGGAAAGTTTCGTTTTTTACATTGTGGGGGGTGATTATGGTATTTTTTCTTATTTTTTTTCTTCTGTCTTATACAGCTGGCCTTCCCCCAGCTATGAATGACTTAGGACATCTTAACACTGGCATGTGCTTCTGGGAGGGGAGGGTCCCAGTCCTAGGATGGCTCGGCAGTCCCCCCGCGGGCATCCTGCACTGCGAGCTAAGACTGGCGTCACCGCCCGGTGGCCTGAGGGGGCGCTGCAGGGCAGGGAATGAAGGCACTTGCCGCGGCTCGGCCCTGGCGCGGTCAGGGCTTCTCCCTGGCGAAGGCAGAGAGAGGAGACATCTCCTTCAGCATATTTGGAATAAATAGAGAACATTCAAATACATTGTAAAGCGGGTGACCTCTCCCGCAGGGTTCCAGACCTGCTATTTGAAAGTGGGAAAGCCAGGGCTATCCAAGAACAGATGTCACATCGTGCCCTGTGCCCGCCTCAGGAACTATTCCAGCCACAGGACTATCCCCCCTTCCATCATGGCTCAGCCCACAGTGATTCTCCCTTTCTTTGATTTTTAAAGCATCTGCCACAGACTTTCCATTCTTGTAATTTCAGGCAGGGAGCACCGGAAAAGGACGTGGCGCTCTCCCAGCCCCACCAGTATCCAGCACCATGATCCAGGGAAGCCTTTTACCTTCCCCAATCCGCAACTTCTTCACTGGTCAAAAATACAAAGGGATATTATGCTGCATGGTCTCTTCGGTCTCTTCTGTCTGTAATTATCTGGATTTAACCACCCTCTAGAGAGGAACTTCCTGTTTTCACACAAGGCTGGTCCTAACACATTTCATCTCTACTCAAACCATAGCCCCCACCTGCCTTTTATCGCATTGAGAAAAAATACCGGAGAAGTGCTTTGGGGCTTTTTTCAGCTCAAAATCTCTTACTAGAGGTAAGAAATCTACAGTACAGTGGCCAAAGTTCTGGGATATCCGTACTGAATTTGGATCCTGTCCTAACACACTAGCTGTGTGACCGCGAGTGAGTTACATAACCTCTCTGGGTCTGTTTTCTCATTATGTAAAACAGAGATGTGAACTGCACCTTGCTAAGGGCATTTATGTGAAGAGGACTCCGCTTGCACAGTGCTTCGTGGCCTTTCACAGGAAAGCCAGAGAGAAAGACTTTTTGCAAACAAAGGTTTTCTTTAAAAAAAGAAATGGAGAGATGATGTGAAAACACAAGTTAGCCTTTGTGCATTCCTTTCTGCGACTGGCCTGTAGCAGGGCTCTTCAGGACACCAAAAGGTCGGTGCTTCCACCTCACTAAAAGTTAGTTAAGTCCGAGGCTTTCTAGCACTAAGGGGCTGGGAAAAGTGAGAATGTTTTCACTTGTCTTACTTAACTCTACTGTGACCTCAACGCTAGGAGCCGGGTCTAAGGAAACGCCTAATAAGCGCTCCTAAATTAAGGAAAACCTGAAATAAAGACCCAGAGAATCTGGGCCAGAATTCAGTCTTTATAGATGTAGTTCAAATTGTTGATTGGTCACAGTCTTACTTCAGCCCCAGAAAACTGGACTACTCTAATGTTTTATTAGGTTTATACAAGTCAAAACATTTAAACTGCTTAGCAAGGCTCAATAAATATCAACTGTTATCGCTCAGGAACACTCTTACACTGCTGGTGGGACTGCAAATTAGTGCAACCTCTGTGGAAAAGAATTTAGAGATACCTCAGAGAGCTAAAAATAGAAATACCATTGGACCCAGCAATAGCACTATTAGGCATCTACCCGAAAGAGTACAAAACATTCTACAATAAAGACATCTGCACCCAAATGTTTATGGCAGCACAATTCACTACTGCAAGGATGTGCAAACAACCCAAGTGCCCGTCAATCCATGAGTGGATTATTACAATTTGGTATATGTATACAATGGAATATTACTCAATCATAAGAAATGACAGTGATCTAAAACCTCTTATCCTTTCGTGGATTAAACTTAAGCCCATTATCCAAAGCGAGGCACCACAAGATCGGAAGAATGGACTCCACTTGTACTCGCCATCAAACTGGTACCAACTGATCAACACTAGGGTGATCACATGGCAGTAATACTCTCCAGGAATTAGGGGAATGGGGGGGTAAACCTGCAACTAAAGGACATGGGGAGCATTGTAGGGGGAAAGGGCATGCCTTTAACCCTCACTTGGGTGAGGCAAAGACATAAAGTGTAACCATAATGTTTGTATCCTCTTAATACCCTGAAATAAAAAAAAAAAAATACTCATCTACCTTTCCCCTCATTAGAAGGGAACTCCGGACAGATTCTAAGAGGAAAGATTGGGAACCCCTTGCAAGCAAGGACTATGTTTACTCCTCATTTCCCATCCCACCTAGCATAGGCCTGGCCACACTGGTGCTCAAATGTGGCTTTTGGATGAATAAAAAGGGGGGTAAGATAAAAGAAGACATTTGTCTTTATAGGGGAGTGCCAATGACAGTTGGGAACTTTTCATAAAGCTAATTTCCTGTTTCTCTTCCAGAAAGAGGACAGCCTGTATTTGCAACACGTTAGCACACCTGAGAACGTGACTCTTGGTATAGCAAACCTCTTGCTCTCAGACTTCAGTAGATCCTGAAATCAAGCAGGGTAGGTTTCCAATCGCTCCATGCCCCATGCAAGATGTCGAGGGAGAATCAGGTGCCTGCTCCTTCTGGAAGGCAGGAAGGAGAGCTGGGGAGAGGCTGACCACGTGAGAAAGTGAAGGAATCTAGTTGCAACACACACATATGTGTGTGCCACCCCGCCCCCCCCCACACACACACAGAGCTCACAGAAGCATTAAATTACATCCAGGTGAGTACATTTGGATTTATTATGCTACAGTTTGGGGGAAGCATCATTTTGAATTAGGGATGTAGCCTGGGGCATGGGAACAAGGGCAAAATATTTCTCCTGGGAGCAGCTAGACCTCAATGAAATTCAGCTTCCTTTCTTGCTTTCACATTAGCTCTGAGAGGACAATGTGCAAAAGCTGCCATCGTCCCCTCTCCTATCACCGACCAGAAAAACTTTGCTGACATAGGATAATGCATTCGGATTGTCTGGGAAAACTGCGGATTGGCTGCATATTCCAATGTCACCTGGCACCCCTTCACCCACACAGTCACAGGAGGGGCAGAGGACAGGATCCACCCCGGCAAAGGGGAACCACATTGCACGTGTATCCACGAGGCTCAAGATGGCAAAAATGATCCAGATGGCACTAACCATGTGATGACATTTCTAAAAACAGGGGTACACTCTCTCCCTTCCACTGCTCTCATAGTGACTGACTGATGACTTAAACTGCAGTGTCCGAATCTTCCAGCAGATGCGTGAAGCTGAGTAGGGCTGGGTTTGTGCAAAGTCCTCTTCAGTGCCCATGGAAACGAGAGGAAGACAGCGAGGTCCGGGTGTTGCCATAGCACAGAAGGTGTCACTTCCCTAGGATTTTGGATCCCTCAACCAAAATGAAGAGGAAAATGTGGCAGAGTGAAGGGTTGTGGGGACAACATTTGTGGATTACTTCCCAATCCAACAACACTCACACTAGCCCTGCAAATGGATTAAATTATGCCCCTTTTGCAGGTAAGGAAACGGAGTCCAACGAGGGCAGGTAATCAGTCTGCCTGCAACACCTTTCCTGTTTCTCCCAAGGATTACTATCCACCAAGATATCATAGGCAGCACATCTGCTCATATTTCAAAAATGTGGGCCAGCTAAATTTTAAAGAAAATAACATGTTAGAACCAGACAAGAGCTAAAAAGGATCTAACTCAGACCCACCTGTGAAGTGACAGCATCATGGGCTGGAGACTTCTTTAAGGGACACCCGCAGATGATGCAGAATAGAAAGAAGAACCCGGGTCCTCCCCGGGAGAACTCAGGTCTCCTGAGGGTCTCCTGACCCTCACTACTGCGACCTCTTACTCTTTAGGTTTCCAATCTCACACGTGCCACTTGCATTTGGGCCCCTGCTTAGTGCAAATAAAAGCGTCACTTGGTTTCCTTCACCAAGGAGCATCAGGCTCAGCGCATTTCTGCTCTCCCTCGGTAGATGGTAGATGCAGGGTAAGAACATTCACTATGGGCTCCACTCGGGTGACCACTAACTTTCCTGTCGTACCAAATGCAGCCCTCCTTGTGCTTTCTCTTACCGGGGCAGCTGTGTTACCAGTGGAAATCATTCCTGGAGGAATTCAAGCGTCCGCCTATTGAACACTTCCTATTTGTTCCTACGCCAAGCACTTTCTGTGCTTATTCTAAGTTCAGTCCTCGTGGCTACCCTACCCTCATCAGAACAGCTAAGAAACGTGTCTGAGGTCACTCAGCTAATGAATGCCAGAACTGAGATTCAATGTCAGCTCTGTCTGGAGATCAAAACCCCTGGGGGTACCATCATACTCCACTGTCTCCTCATGAGTCACTCACACCACCCCCCCATATTGTAAGAGTTAGCCTGGCTGTTTCAAAGCAACTTGACCTTTCCTCCGGGTTATGCTCACTCTAAGCTGTTTCTCACTTGCTCTATCCTGCGGCATCTCCCAGTTCCCTGTACCCTGCACCCGAGGGAGGGCTGAATGAAAACTCAGTCGGCCAATGCTAGAATTCCAAGTGACACCAACCCTATTTAATAGCCCAATGACTCCCTTCTAGCGTCAACATTTTCTCTCCCTTGCTTTGCCTTCTTCTAAAGACCCTGCTCACTATGAAGCCTCGCAAGGTGAAGCCGTCCATCTTCTCATGCCCTCAGGGCTCAGCACCAGCCACTGTCCTGAGCCTTCAGTGATCATGCCACACGTTGTTCCACCGCCTTCCTTCTGGAGCTTTGGTTCTTTGGATTCAGATCATTCCACCATAGATCCTCAGAAATGTTGACGCCTGGTTATTCTTTTTGTCCTCGAATGAAGTCCAAGCACCCACCCTTCCAGCCGTGAATCCTCCAGTGACTTTTCTACTTCCTGCCCCACCTGGTTCATTCCAGGGTCTGGCAGCCCCAGACCCCTCACTCTCACCTGACCGCACTTTTCACTGCGACACCTGCATGCCTCAGCTCCCACTGTTTCCTTTGCCTTAAGTAGCGTCCTGCTCTTGTCCACCTGGCCAGCTCCCGCAGATGCTCTAAGGCCCATCTCAAATGCACATGTCACATCCCAGTCCATACGACACATACTCAATAAATGCAGGTTGAATTGAGTTGAATCATTAGCATCACATTATGTAGATTTAGTTGATCAGGGAAAAAGAGCGATGCTGTGGCCTTCTTTTTTCCTTTGCTCCTTTCCTGGCATGCTTTGGTGTGATTACCAGGGGAGACTGTTCCAGAGAAAGCTCTGGGGGCCCCTTCACCCTCCCCAGGAACTCCCTGTTCTCGCCTTCCGGATGTCTGAGCCCTGAGGTCCTGCTCCTTCCCCGAGCCCATGTCCCCGCACCCCTCACTGTCTCTCTGTACCTGAGGAACTTGTTGAGGTCCCCATGCTTCATGTACTCGAAGACCATGATGAGCGGGTCACCCTCCACACAGACGCCGTAGAACTTGACGATGTGCTCGTGTTGGAGGTTGGTCAGCAGCTCGGCCTCGCGGTGGAAGTCCTTGCGTGCATTGTCGCTGGCGTCCTTCAGCGTCTGTTGAGGAGGGGCAGAGAGGGAAGAAACCCAACACATATTACACCGAGGATGTCAGGGGGAAGGTTGCATTGGGAAGGATTCAGTGGGCCCTAAAATTCCCAGATGGGAAGGACACTCATCTCATCTATTACACAAGAGACTGGAAAACAGCCTAATTCCTGGGAAAAGAACATTTATATTAATAACTGAGGAATAATCCCTATGTGTACGCAAAGCTTTACAGTTTGTGACAAACTTTCACGGATGTCCTCTCATTAAGTTACAGACAGCAGCTCTCTTTACAGTCTTCATCCTTTCAAACCCCGGTCTGGACCCAGTGATTGCCCTGGGCTTCTCTCCCCTTTTGGTACCTGTTGTGTTTTCTGTGATGCTATGTGCAGCTCATGTCTGCTCATATAACCTTTCAAAAACTTTATATTATGAAAATATTCAGTAGAAAGAAGAGTACAATGAATGTGCATAAACCCATCTCCAGCTTCAGCAATGATTACTTTGCTGGTCTGTGTGTAGCAGTCTAAAGAGCCTTCTCCAGCCAGTGCCCCAAAATGCCCCTGACCCACAAAACGTCCCTGTCCAGTGAGCTGCAAGAAGACTAGTCATGCTGCCCCAGTGAAAATGGCCAGAAGCATGCCTCTGCTCAGACCACCTGGTCACCACAGTGTCACAGCAGTGTTACTTTGATGCCACACAGTGTGCTCTTGCCATGTGCCCATCACAGAGCGAGAACTGTGACAGCATCAAGAAGGCAATGACCCAGATCCTGGCCTCAGGCCTTTATGGGCAAATAGGGAGATAAGACACATATATAAATAACTATGATTTGAGCTAAAAGCCCAGTGTCCTGAATGGAGAAGCTCCTATATCTCTGCCCAGCTTGATCCCTTGACACTCCTCTTACGAACTATCTGCAGCCCAGATGACAATGGGCCATGCCTCCCTGGCTTTGTACATGTTCATTCCTCCACCTGGAACACTATCTTGTGTGTGGTCGCTGGTGTGGGAAATTAGACCCCCGATCCCTTGCCAAAGCTGTCCAATCCCTAATGCCTGGAACCTGTGAATGCGTTGCCTTGCATGGCAAAAGAGACTTTGCAGGTGTAATTAAATTAAGAGTCTTGATGGGGGTGGGTATCCAGGTGGGCCCAGTGTCATCAAAGGTCCTTATAAGAGCAAAGAGAGAAACGATGCAAAGACAGTAGCAGAGATCAGAGAGGAGAGAAGAAGCCACACTACTGGCTGTGAAGATGGAGGAAGGAGCCATGAGCTACCACGTGGGTGGCCTCTAGAAGCTGGAAGAGACAAGGAAATGGATTCTACCCTAGAACCTCTAGAAGAAACCAGCCCTGCTAACATCTTGACTGGAGCTTAGTAAAACTGATTTCAGATGTCTGGCCACCAGAACTGTGGGAGAAATAACTTGTGTTGTTTAAGCCACTGAGTTTATAATAATTTGTCACAGCAGCCATAGGAAACTAATACACATGGCTAATATCTAGCAGTCCTCTAAGACTCAGCCCACTGCCACCTCTCTGGGAGGTGTCCCCTGGCCACCACTCATTGCTGTCACAACCCTTCCGTCCCTAGGGCTGGGTTAGATGACCCTTCTAGGTGCAGCTTACACCTATTTCTATCATATTTCTGATTGCAATACAGTCTAATTGCAAGTTTGCTTGTCTCTGGTATAGACTGTGAGCTCCTTGACCCAGGGGCTGTGCCTTCCATCTCTGCATTGCCAGCACTTGGAATGGCACAGGGCAGGTATTCAACAGATGCTTGTGGAATAAATGATAAAGGCCACGAGAACTAAACACCGACAGCAAATGAGTTCAGAGAGGGAGTGGCTGCTTCTAACTGAGGAGGAGGAGGGAAGCCCGAGGACTCCTCCCAGTAGAGATGACGTGTGAGTATGTGAATCCTGTCTCCAGGGAGACTGCAATCAGTCATTACCAAGGTCAGATGGCAAATGCGAGCATCCCTGTTCACACGAATCTGCCATTGGAATGGAATGAAAGCACTGTCATCCATCAGATATACACTAACTACAAAACTAAACACTACGTTCAGGAGCTGAGAACACTGCTGGGTCCCTGGCGGTCATTTTCTAGATCACTGCCTGGGCTCTGCTCTCCCTGAGGGGACATCCCTGACCTGGACCACCTAGAGACCTTGGGATGTGTCACAGGTCAAGATCCCTGGGGAGCAGGCTAGGAGGAGACTGGCAGGAGACAGTTATCAGGGCATGTTCTCAGGATCCACACCTGTGGGAGGGAGTGGGCAGGGGTGAGGCAGAGTCATGATGCAGTCTCAACAAAAGCCTCACCGACCCTATGGGCTCCCCTTCAGAGCTGGTCTGACTTGGGCTAAGGGGGCTGAGTCTTTATAGCCCTTTATTAATCAGTCGTTGGATGCCCGCCCCCCTCAGGGGAGTGGACCTTGAGTGGAACTGCTGGGCCCCCCGAGAGGGCAGGCAGCTGAAGACTGTCAGTTGCAGCTTTCTCAGCAACTGGGGGGCAAGTCCTTCATTCTGAAGAGGGGCTGGATGGTTCCTCACTGAGTCCACCACAGGGTAAGTTTTCAGCATGCAGTGTAGCCTGCCCGCTGCTGCTCGCCACACAGGAGGGGACCAGTGAGTATGCAGGGCCTGCCTCGTGTCAGCCACGAGAAGACATTGGCATAGTGGAGGCAGCCACAGATCACAGATCAGGTAGCAAAGTATTTTCTGTTACCATCATCACAGAATCTAGCATTTTCCTTAACTGCCTTTAGCAGGACTTAAAGTTCTCTCTCCAGTGGTGACCTGACCCAAGGAGACAGAAATCATGGGTACAGCTTTCATTAGACCAGAGACAGTTGCTTCTTATGCCGAATTCTGGAGATACCATTCAAAAAAAGGATCTGGTGACCGGATTCACCATTTTCACTTCACTATAATATGTGATTTTCTGGGAAGTGTCTCTACAAGCACCACCAGCTCTGCTTCAAAAAGTGGGGGATTTGGGCCAGCAAGTGCTCAGGGAGGCCATAAAGCTTCCATGGTGCTGTTGCCATGGAAACAGCACATTTCTTCATTTAATTACAAGATGAACAGTGGCCGAGAACCTGGGGTCTGGGTCTCTGCTCCCTTGAAGCTACGGAAACTGGGCTTGTCCCATCCCCTCTGATCTCCCAGAACTGGCTAGTTCAGTTAGATCCAAACTAAATTTTGCATCCCTGTCACAGACAGGGACTGATGTGCTTATCTTGACCATTTGTTTAGGTTGGTTTTATCCATGGACATGCTTTTGGTTATTGTTTTTTTTTTTTTAAATCCACCCACTGTTTTGTTTTGCTGAGCTTCTCAGTAGAGAAACAGCAGATGAGGCAAGGAGATGGACTGGGAGGAGGTGGAGGAGCCAGAAGTCATCATCTGCTGGTCCTTCTCCTGGGCTCTTGGAGCAAAACACACACACCAGAGCCTTTCTCATGCTCGGACGTGCATCATGGCTGTGGGTACGTGTCTGTCTCCACTATTCCTTTGACAGTGGAAGTGTGCCCTGTTCACTTGTTTTTAATCACTGGCTGCTTAACCTCATGTCAGGCAATGAAAAGAACCCCTGACACGTGAGGTCTGTGCAAAGCAGAGAGAAAAGAGCAGGGGAAGGAATGGATAGTGAATGGTCATCTGGAAAGGCTGAATGTGGGCCCAAGTAAGAAGTGGAAATGAAGGAAGGACCAAGAAAGAAAGCATGTAGAAGAACCTGCTTCCGAGGTTGAGAGGGGCTGCCCAGTTCACTCTCTCCTGGAGAGCTGACCCCAAACATCGGTGTTCTCCTTCCAGTCAAAGGGCAAATCCTAACAATTGTGATGATCAAACAGAAGGAGTTCTAGCTTAGAATCAAAAGATCCAAGTTCAAATCTTGGCTGTGCCCTGGACCTCTCTAAACTCTGGTTGTCTTCTCTGTAGAGTGAGGATAACAATATCATCCTGTACTTCACAGTGAGGATGGGGAGAGGTAGTGTAAGTCGGGAAGCTTCCCAGAGTCCCTGGCAGAGACAGACATTTGGGTGATTTGAATTTGAAACCTCAACCAGGCCTGTGCTCAATTTGCTCGCCCAAGGATCCAAGAAGGCCAAGAGATGCGTGGATTAAGTCGGCACCAACCTAAGGCATGAGGGCAGCAGTGCTGCCGGAGCTGCCACCTTTTCCCGGATGGCCTGCTGAGCTCCTGAAAGTACCAGACTGCACACTGAGATCCAGCCCTTGGCCTGCAATGCCTTCTCGCAGATGCAGCCTCTTTATTCAGAGGCTGCTCTGAGTTGCTGAGATAGCTCATTTCTAAGGCCTTGGCCTGTCTTTGTGCATGAGTGGGAACAGGTGCTGACCCTTTTAGGTCATGATCACAAGTCATGAACAAATTCCGTGTGTAATCTTTCTGCTCAAGTTTTAGCTATGTAGTGTTGATTCACGGATACTAGATTGTGTGCCTGTGGGGTGGGGAGGGGGGAGAGAGACAGTGAAAGCGGGAAGGATGGAGAGAAGGAAGGAGAGAGTCCAGGGTTTTCTTCTTCTGAGCACCAACCTGAAAGAGTTAAGAAGCATCTAATATTTCCATGTCCCCAAAGAAAAATACCATGGAAAGGAGCCCATTCTTGGTTCAATGTCAAAAGCTGTGTTTTAGTAACATTTTTGGAATTAAGAGAGGAGATTTCATTATTCATGGGACAAATGCATCTCACAAACCTGGCCTCATCCTATATGCTCATCCATTTTTGCATGTTTTTCTAAATTATGATTCAATTCTATTTTAAGAGATTCAGAAAATATGGCAGTAACAACTTGGGCAAAATCATCTTCTGAATTTGGCACGCTAAGGGCAGAATTTTTCTAAGGGTGGAACCCTAGCCAGATAGCAATCAGAAGCTAGAAAATCCTGCTATCAACCCTATTTATAAAAATCATCTCTGTTTTAGTACCATAGCTGATTGTCATTTCACTCAATTATGTGAGGCTTGGCTGG